TAATATATTTAATGTTTATATATAATTTTTGTGTATATATATATATATATATATATATATATATATATATATATATATTACTTTTATTCTTTGTAAATATTTTTTGGATTATAATATTTTTAATATATAAACCTACTTTTTTAGCCTTTGATTACAAATCACTGAAATCAGTTACATAGCTTTGACATGTGATAGCATCACATTACATAAACACTTATGTTGCGATGCTTGATAGAGCAAGGAAGTAATTTTGTAATGAAGAGTGAGATGAGACACCAAAACGAAAAAATAAACATTAGATACAAGAATTATAAATATAAAATATACATAAACTAAAACCAAAAATAAGTATATTACAATGAAAAAGTATTGAAGTTTAAATTTCATCATGAAATTTATGCAATTTTTTTTATTTGTTTTCATCATGAATCTTTTTATTTTTTATTTTTATTCCCCTTTTTAATCATTTTTACAAAACTGTCTCGGTTATTAGGAGTTAGGATTGCTGTGGAAAATTGTGTTTCATCTTTACCATGTGTGAAAATTTTTCAAGCTAACGGTAAGAATATAGAAATAAGATTTGTTTCTAGTCCAATAAACTAGAAAATACTTGTAACAAGACTAAGAAAAAATATGGAGAGATAGAAGTGTGGAGGCAAATTTACGTGAAAAGATAAATAGTGTAAGATATAAATGTGATGCAGATTCAGAGTGACAAGTTATATAGCTGCCTGATTAAAATTTTTTGGTGTCTTAATAGACAGAGGAGCAGAATGGATTTATAGAAAGCACAGTCATAAGCAGTGATTTCAAACCAGAATTCTCCACACTGAAGCTGATGTCATGCCAGGTACATATATTTCCATATAATTAGATTTATGGGTTGTCAATAGATGCAATATAATTTCCAAACCTGCCTATAGTATTAGTTCATAAGTAACTCACAGCACCTAACTTATTTATCATATATAAATCTGAAACATAAATTTAGGAAGATGTCTTTACCTTTCATTTTACATTGGTACCTTTCTTTTTAACAGATAGCATATTTTTATGACCAATTTTTTTTTCTTTCATAATATTTTTATGACCATGTCATGGGAAAACTGGTCATTTTTAGTGCAATATCTCTTTCTAATCATATTTCTTTTGTGTATAATACTAGGATTTGAGGTATTATAGATAAGGTGTGGCAGAGTCCAATTCCACTCAGATGTATGATATCTTAGTTTCTCCCTCTATTTAATTACATATTAACTACTAAATTTGTGGATGATATATAACAATTACGATGAACTACATATGTGAAACGTAAGATCATAAAACAAAATTGTTGTTATTATTGTGATGATTAAATGAGCTAGGCAATTTGAATCTAGTTATGATAATTTATGTACCATGCACGTACGGTGGCAGATGATGACAACAGTTGCTGGTTTGGAAAACGTACACCAAACAACATTGAGGATTCTTCAGCAACTGAGAACCTTCTCGTGGGACGCAAAGGCACTGATAGCTCTGGCGGCTTTCTCTTTGGAGTATGGAAATTTCTTGAACCTTTACCAGGCATCAGACTATCTGGGGAACTCGTTGAAAGCGCTGAATCAAATTCAACATAGACTGCAGCTTCAAGTGATTGATCTCAGCGTCAATACAGCAGTGAAGCTTGTATTGGAATCGGTTCAGAAAATCAACCTCTGGGGAACCTGGTCTTCTGATGAACGCTATGACACTGAGGATGTTCCCGCTCTCTCTGATGCCTTGCACCAGATTCCCCTTGTTGTCTATTGGGCCGTCGCTACCCTCGTCGCTTGCAATAGCAACATCCAAAGCTTATCGTAAGTTATGGAATAAACTTCTTCATATATATACTTTTACAGGATCCCAATTTATTTTAATAACTTCTAAGTTATTTTATAATAAAGTATGAACTCAAAGTAATTTATGAAAATAAGGTAGTTTATACTTTTTTTTTTCACTTTTATTCTTACTAATTTACTTGAAATTTATTTTAAGTCAGATAATTAAATATATTTTTTTACGTTAACAGCTAATTTATTAATATAAATATTTTTAATTCCATCGGATGTTTTCAGCTTTTTATAACTCGTATAGCTTGTAAATTTTAGCTAACTTATAAATTTTCTGTTAGTTAATTTATAAGAACACATCTTAAAAACAAACAACTTTTATAAATTGAACATACATGAATTTTAAATTATGGTTCTTGTGAAATGTTATTTAATTGATAAGATTTCGTGTTTCAGGGACTATTCAATCAAGACATTTAGTACCAAACTTTCTACCGCAGTGGAAGAGTTGAGCAGGCACCTAGTGACATGCGAGCTGCAAAGAGGTTGACTGCTTAGTTAAATCTCTCGCATGCTTCCTTCAACCTTAATCTATACTTTCTACTTACGTAAGTTACGAAAAGAAACTCCCTCTCATCTATTGCAGCTATAATATTCGACTACTTGGACCGCAAGAGGAGATTCAGAAACCCTAAAGGCATTGTAGACTTCTTGAAGCTTTTGATCCATCAAAATGGGTCTCAGAACGCTCAAATATATGACGGCAACGCCAAAAAGATAAAGGTTGGTACCATTGAATTATTATATATCCATTTAATTATACTGTTTATCACCATCTTTTATATTTTGCAAATTTTACTACCCAAACTTTAAATTTGTATATTTTTTCACTTAATTTCTTTTCACATAGTTATTATTAACATAACATATTAACTATCACAGAAGTTAATTAATATAGCATATCATATGAAATGATAACATATGAAATATGAGTAACAAGAAAAGTGCAATTAAGAGTTGTACATATAAGGTGAACTCATGTCATGTATGTTCTTTTAGAATAGTAACTTTGTGCTGTTGTTGCATGGTGGATAGAGTGTTGATGTTTTCAAGGAGAAGCACGTGTTGCTATTCATTTCGGGGCTGGACAGGATCGAAGACGAGATTCGGCTACTGAATTCCATTGACGAGAGGCTGGTGGAAGATCCGAATGAGAAGAGCGGGCACAAGTAAGAGGA